AAAATATTGATGACATAGCAAAATTAAACGATCAACAGTAATGTTCTCTCATAAGCTGTATTCCTGAATATATCACTGTCTCTGCTAAAATGTTGAAGACATATTCTGCAAATATGTATGAATGATAAAAATAAGATTTCTCAAAAAAAGAGAAAGAGGGGTTTTTTTTAGCCGAAATTTTAGACATTTTTATCATTACATTATTTATACATTCATAAATAAATTTGATTTTATGCACAAGATGAATGTGAAAGTAATTAATGACGCATAATTAGATACGATAGACAATCCCTTGTTCATACATGGCATCATATCTTGTGTGTGAAATGTGTTTCCGTATAATTTGATTTATTTACAAATTGTTCATGTTTGTCGTGTTGATGTGGAATTATTATAAATTCCCGAATTCTGATACTTTACAATTCTGTTGTGTTGGGAATGAACATTAGGAAGATGCATTTACTTTCAACATTATGAAAAATATAAAGCAAATCGAACGCCTTTTTGTGTGCAGATCATGAAATGTACTGAGCTCCACGGGTATTTGTTGTCCTGAGCGCATTAATATTGACGCCCAAATTCTTACTTGGCTAGTGATACCTTTAGAAAACATGTGTCTCTAGATGAAAGTTAACTCGGCAACATGCGCCATTCCATTGTTTAAGTTTTATTAGGTGATTACATCTCCTATACCCGATTTCACGGATACAATGATACCCTAATATCGGGTATTATACGCGATTTCAAGGACAATACCCGATTTCGAGTATTCTCTCCGACCTGATTAATGTCTAGTGCCATTACTTGTCTCCAGAGTGCCTCTTCTACTTTGGATGACATGATTGAAAATCATGGTGCAAAACTTGCAGTTTCCTAATGATGTTGTGAATTGTGTGTTCAGTAATCAAAATCTGCATAATGTGATGAACATTGATGCATTTTATGGAGAAAGAAGACAGATATTGAAGAGATTCAGAGATCTTTTGGAAGATCATTTGTTCCAATGTTCACTGATATTTGACCATAAAAACTGGCCACATTTGAACACGGGCAATTGTAAGTATAAACATAAGTCTGAAATACGTAAAAATAATTTCAAATTTGATTTGATGTAAAAAAAAATTGCATTAAATTTATTTTGTTATTGAGATCATAATAAAAAAAATTTAATATTTAATTTTTATTTTCCAGCCCTAGTCCAGTATGGTGTGACAGAAATTCGACAGATTGTAGCCCATTTCCAGATTCTGCTTCCTAGATTAAATCTTGATAACATTCTACAAGAAAGTGTATATAAACAGAAATGACCATTTTAAAGCCTGCCACCCACTATCCGTTTATCACGGAATCTGGAAGGAGGATGGAAAGTGTCAGCATTTCCCAAATATTAGGAAAGTTATAACCTGGTATCATTATTACCCTGTCCAATGCAACATGTGAGCGAGGATTTTCAACCGTGAAACGCATAAAAAGCGATTGGAAATGCTGTTTGTCAAATGAGACAATCAACACTTTGATTGTTTCATTTGATTGAAATGATTGGTGACAGTCCTGATGGATTGTCCACCTTCAAACCACGAAATGTATAGTAAATAGGTTGTGCATCTCGGAGAACAAATTGATTCCATATAGTCCTCACAAGTGGCATGAATCAGACTCTCTGATTATTATGAATTTAGCTTTATGCTATAATTGCTATGTCAATTTGAAATAATCAACCAGAAGTCTCTGTCGAAACTGTAGCTCTACTGGTTTGTACTTATAACAAAGGAATGAGAAAAGAAGCCATTGCCCTCAGACCAAAACTGTAGAAGGAGTAGCGTTTTAAAGGAATTTCACAGACATTTCTATTTTTAGCAACCATGGCAACACTGTTCATCAAATAAAAAACGATGTACTATTTTATGAATCTTATTGTAGTCTACTTGTGTGCCAAGTAATATTGAAATCAGACTAAAATTGTAGAAGGAGTAGCGTTTCAAAGGAATTTCAAAGAAAATTCTATTTTTAGTAACCATGGCAACACCGTTCATCGAAGTCAAAAACCGATGCACTATTTTATGTATCTAAGTGTAGATTATGTGCCAAGTAATATTAAAATCAGACTTAAAAACTGTAGAAGGAGTAGCGTTTTAAAGGAATTTCACAGAAAATTCTATTTTTAGTAACCATGGCAACACCGTTCATTGAAATCAAAAATCGACGCACTATTTATGTATCTTAGTGTAGTCTACTTGTGTGTCAAGTAATACTGAAATCAGACCAAAACTGTAGGAGGAGTAGCGTTTTAAAGGAATTTCAAAGAAAATTTTATTTTTAGTAACCATGGCAACACCGATCATCGAAATCAAAAAACCGATGCCATATTTTATGTATCTTAGTGTAATCTACTTGTGTGCCAGGTTATATTGTAATCAGACCAAAACTGTAGGAGGAGTAGCGTTTTGAGAAATTGTTTACAGACAGACGGACAGACTGACGGACGACGGACACCTTACTATCGCATAAGCTCTTCTGGTCTCTGACCAGTAGAGCTAAAAATCATTAAAGAAGATTCTCTGTATATTTACTGCAGAAAATTAGTTTTAATATGAAATTATTCAACGTATTACTATGAGAAAAAAAGCTAGTTAAAGTTTAATATTGCTAGTAAAAAAAATCCAAGCTAAAATTTGCTAGTAGTAAAAATAGTTAACTCCCTTGTGAATGTTGCATCAAAGAGAGATGTTACAGAGGAAAGTTAGGAAGAAATATATGTACATCATGTGGCCTATCCTACACAGAGGCTAGTTCTGGCAGTGGTTTTGTTGGAACACTTTTGGTGAAGACTGACGGAGAATGAAATACTTTTTCCATTTTAACACTGCAAGATAGTCGTTTTGCAAAATTTTGGACCGTGAAATAAAGAGTACCTACTAGTTACTAGAACCTGACATTGCCAAAAAATCCTATTTAATATCATCAAGTTTAAAAAACATATGTTAACATTCATATCTTTTAATACCGAACTCAGATCTGTACAAATATCTCATAATTTCAGAGTTTTTGTATTAAATACCCTGAATAAGAAACATATCTGCCTGATATGCGGGACTTTTCTTGATTCAGTCTTATCTGTTCTCCTGTTATTTCAACACATGTATTTTTAAAGTACATGTATATACACAATAAACCACCAAATATTTGTATGTACAAAGATTCCGAAAGATAATGGTACATTGTATTATATCAGAAACTGAACTTTACATACCACCTCCTGATGTACAGTACTAACCTGTTTTAAGGATGTTTACAAAACTTTATTCATATTTTCAGGTTTCATTAATAATTATCAAATGAACCCTGTGTGGGCAATGCATGTCCTGTAGACATGTTTCTACCATGTTTTTTAAAAAAAAAACATATTTATTAGATTACACTGTGTGTACCAGATATGCTTATTACTATTACTTTGCTCTTGCACAACTTTGTATGCATCCGTTAGATTCGTATACATGCATCTGATTTTTTTTTATTTGCGTTTTTCTTTTAAACGTTTGATCCAGTTATATTGAACATTTACTTCATGATGTGACATGTACTAAATTATTATTAAATTTACAAAATGACATTTGTTATAGAGTGACGACTTTTCAGTAAGGCAATTGTAACTATTTTTGTATACATCCTTTTCTTTTAATACTGATGTTTTCTTTTTTTTCACTGTTCATGCCTATAGACCATAAACGGAGAATAGACTTAAGTCAAAATATCAAATCTATATAACTTTCGATATAATTTTGATAATAAAAAAAAACAAAAAAACATATGTTTGAATTGAAATGTTTTGCACAATTGAACTTTTTAACTTTTTAAGCTAATACAATGAATGAAACTGAAAATGTTAAAAAATTAAAATTTTGACTTAAGTATGTTCTCAGCTTGTGGTCTTTGGGCCAGGAAATTTTTAAATGACTAGCATTTTCTTACTCGCAACGCGATATACATTCATAACCAGTTTCTAATATTTTTTTCCAATAGGTCATAATTTTTCTAAATCATGTTCTCATACATATGCCGGCCTGACCCTAAATAAAATTGTGATATTTTGATAGGTTTGGGTGCAAGGAATAATTTACGATAGGATTTTTTTGGGGGTACCCCTGCCCTAGGGTCGAAATTCACACAAAACCTACAAAAAATAAGGAAAGCTGATTTTCATAATCTGGTACCACACTTTTAAAGTTTTAAATTTTCGCCTTTTCAAATACTATTTTAATATTTTTTTTATAAACTTGTGTATTTTCCTTCAATTATATATATCCTTTATGCATGTCCATTCTTGATATTTGATTTAGGCCTATATAATTTGCACACACCAATGGCATGTTTTCTTATATTCACGGATTAAATAGCCTAGACATAAAGAATAGAATTTCAGAGGAGTAAACGTTACCATTATGCACATTGAGAAGTTAAGACAAATATCAATTATTACATTTTGAGGTAACAAACTCAGGAAATCAATGAAAGGGTTTCTCCTATCTCTACTCGCTGAAATAAAGATTTAGGAAAAACAAATTGTTATATGTATTCAGCCTAATGCCATTAATCAGAACGGAAATCGACAAGGTTTTTGTAGAGAAAAAAAACCAAGCCCGGTCCTATAGGTCAAATCCCTATCTATAATGAAGTGAAGTGATCCTTATGATTTCTACCTTTTCATTGCATTTCTACCTTTTCATTTCAATTGCCTTCATTAATTGTTCTGAGAAAATGGTACAATGACCAACTGTATTTAACAAAAATTGAGCGTGATGCCATTATGATGAGTTAATTGAAATAGATTTTGCTGTAATAGTATTCAAGTTTTGTCAATTTTGGATGCAAATGGTTGTATGCAATAAATAAATTCAACATAAAGGAAAATTTGCGAAAAATGAATTTAATGATTTTACGCTTATGTAGGCATATATGTATGACTCGGCTCATCCCTGCCCCTCCCTTTTCTTTATACTCACATGTGCAGCCGTCCAGGAGGCAAGGTATGGTTTGTGAAGGAGTAGTCCCCCAGCAGCTCCCTGCAGGCCGTACACACTGCCTGGTCCTCTGTAAGGTTTGTGAAATGCAATCAGATGGACATGATGACCATGACTGCCAATTTCCCCAGATAGCTAAAAATATCATTTGTGGATGAGAAACAATTCAATTTTGGTTGTAACGAGTTATTCGGTTGGATAAAAAATTCACTCAACATCATATAACCTTGGTAGCCTACGTCACAATTACCTCCGTCAAAAACGGATCAATCCGCTTGACTTAACAATTATAATATGTACAATTTAAAGGCAATTTTGAAAGAGAAAGTCTTTTGTACATTTAATGATTGAAAATTAAATTATAGGGAATTACTTTAACAGTTACCCAAGTTATACTTGTATAACCAAGGTTGGAGTGGTATAACCCAGGTTGGAGCTGCTTACGCTTTTTTAAAACCGCTTCGTGGTTTGTAAAGCGTAAACTGCCCAAACTAATGTAATATACTATAACTTGGATAGCTATTAAATTTATTCCTTAATTAATAAGCAAATTCATAAAATATTGATCTTCTGCTATTTCTCGAGAAAAAATGTTAAACAACAACCCGACGTCTTTCTAGTATGGATCCAATTCATGTATTTTCGGCATATTGTAATTTATTGTCCAGTCTTGTCTATAAATCAAACTTTTTAAAAAAAAATATTGATGTTACCTATCTTAGTGTAAAAAAAAGGACCCAATTTTTATGGCATTAGGTCAAAAATCATAGTAGTAGAGCCTGTGCTTTCAGAAAGGTCTTATTTGTGGATGTGCACATTTGAAAAAAAAAATATGTTAGCTCCGTCTCTCTGGTACAAAGGTTGGGGTCAACGCTCAAAGTTTTATTATTATAATATCATAAATTAGACTACACTGAACGATCAGCATCTTTGTGTATTTTAAAATCTTTTCCAAGTTCGGGGGAGGGGGGGGGGATAAGTATTAAAAAATCATCGAATCAGCACCAAAGTCTAACTTGACCTGTATCTCCTGTCCACATTATAAATACATTTTTAAGTTCAAAGAGGGATAAGTGTCAAATTCATCGGACCATGACAAAATTAGACCAATCTGTTGACACCATAAGTTGGATCAGATACCATGGAGGAGTAAGCATCCCCATAGTCAACCAGTCATACCAACCTAGGCTCATTGTTATAGTAAGGCAAACGGAAAAAAGTGATAAAATTCGGTGATTATATTTTTGGTCTAACATTTTGTTTTAAAATACCAAGTCAGCATTCAACTTAATCTGCATTCGCTGACAGGGTCTATCAATCGTAGAACTTGCAAAGATATTTTTAACTAAGAGTGGAAATTAAAAAAAATGTTATTGCTGAATAGGTATCGTCCGTAGAACTTGCGAAGGTATTTTTCAATTAAAAATATAAATTCAAAAGTGAAAAAAAAAACAATTACTCAAGTGTCTCTATGAATCTTTCAGATCTGCTTAGTTTACAGATTTGATTGATTGCTTTGATTTAGTTTTGCAATCATTGGCTTTGCATATTTTAAGGTTATAAAAATCACATCTATTAAAGAGTACTTACATGAGCAGCTGTAGGAATATATCAGTGTTTTATCACACCCTTTACACGGGTCTCCACCAAGCCAGGCGTTGTTGGCTTGTATCGTACAGGAGGAGCCGTACCCACACTGAGAGTTCATTCTGGAGGTCACAGACGCGCTACCAGAACAGGAACCACAAGACCAAGTCCCCGAGAAGGCGATGTATTGACTCGAAGAGCAACCTCTGGTCGTTGAGGATCCTTCAGACAGTGAATAACAATCTGGAATAAAAGTAGGACATATTAATGTTGGAGACAGGTTTGTCAAATGAAAATAAAGGTGATCTTCATAGCTTTTCTTTTTAAAATTTAAAAAAAAAATACATGCAATTGTGATGAGTTGCCTTATATACTCTGGCCGATGGGATACGTTTTGTTTCATTTCAGATTAATATTATGACCTAATGACCGATAAACAACTTTGATTGCATTTGTGCCTTGCACAAACTACTGCAAAGATAAGATATATTTAAATTGCAATAAAAAAAAATGAAAGAAAAAGTGAGCAAGCTCACATACCCCACGCTCCCCCAAAACTCAAAGTGCTGAAAATCCCAGAACAAATGAAAGAATCGGAATTTCCCGGTAATATGCACATCTACAAATTGTGTCCTAAATATCTGCAAAGTTTGATGAAATTCTGTGCAGCAGTTTATGAGGAGTTGCGCTGACAAACTGTTCACCACTATATTCAAGATATCTCCAAATATCTAAGTTGTAAAGTGACGAAATTCCCAGAAAAATAAAGGAATCGGAATTTCCAGGTAAAATGCACATCTACACATTGTGTCCTAAATATCTGCAAAGTCTGAAGAAATTCTGTGCAGCGGTTTATGAGGGGTCGCGCTGACAAAATGTTCATCTGTATATTCAAGGTATGGCCAAAAATCTAAGTTAAAAAGTGTGGAAATCCTAAGAAAAAATAATGGAATCGGAATTTCCTGGTAATATGCACATCTACACATTGTGTCCTAAATACCTGCAAAGTTTGACGAAATTCTGTGCAGCGGTTTATGAGGAGTTGCGCTGACAAAATGTTCATCTCTATATTCAAGGTACAATGTATGGCCAAATGCCTAAGTTAAAAAGTGCGGAAATTCCCGGAAAAAATAATGGAATCGGAATTTCCTGGTAATATGCACATCTACACATTGTGTCCTAAATACCTGCAAAGTTTGACGAAATTCTGTGCAGCGGTTTATGAGGAGTTGCGCTGACAAAATGTTCATCTGTATATTCAAGGTATGGCCAAATGCCTAAGTTGAAATGTGCGGAAATTCCCGGGAAAAATAATGGAATCGGAATTTCCTGGTAATATGCACATCTACACATTGTGTCCTGAATATCTGCAAAGTTTGACGAAATTCTGTGCAGCGGTTTATGAGGAGTTGCGCTGACAAACTGTACATGGTAAGGCCAAATGCCTAAGTTAAAAAGTGCGGAAATTCCCGGAAAAAATAATGGAATCGGAATTTCCTGGTAATATGCACATCTACACATTGTGTCCTAAATACCTGCAAAGTTTGACGAAATTCTGTGCAGCGGTTTATGAGGAGTTGCGCTGACAAACTGTTCATCTCTATATTCAAGGTATGGCCAAATGCCTAAGTTAAAAAGTGCGGAAATTCTCGGAAAAAATAATGGAATCGGAATTTCCTGGTAATATGCACATCTACACATTGTGTCCTGAATATCTGCAAAGTTTGACGAAATTCTGTGCAGCGGTTTATGAGGAGTTGCGCTGACAAACTGTACATGGTAAGGCCAAATGCCTAAGTTAAAAAGTGCGGAAATTCCCGGAAAAAATAATGGAATCGGAATTTCCTGGTAATATGCACATCTACACATTGTGTCCTAAATACCTGCAAAGTTTGACGAAATTCTGTGCAGCGGTTTATGAGGAGTTGCGCTGACAAACTGTTCATCTCTATATTCAAGGTTTGGCCAAATGCCTAAGTTAAAAAGTGCGGAAATTCCCGGAAAAAATAATGGAATCGGAATTTCCTGGTAATATGCACATCTACACATTGTGTCCTGAATATCTGCAAAGTTTGACGAAATTCTGTGCAGCGGTTTATGAGGAGTTGCGCTGACAAACTGTACATGGTAAGGCCAAATGCCTAAGTTAAAAAGTGCGGAAATTCCCGGAAAAAATAATGGAATCGGAATTTCCTGGTAATATGCACATCTACACATTGTGTCCTAAATACCTGCAAAGTTTGACGAAATTCTGTGCAGCGGTTTATGAGGAGTTGCGCTGACAAACTGTTCATCTCTATATTCAAGGTTTGGCCAAATGCCTAAGTTAAAAAGTGCGGAAATTCCCGGAAAAAATAATGGAATCGGAATTTCCTGGTAATATGCACATCTACACATTGTGTCCTAAATACCTGCAAAGTTTGACGAAATTCTGTGCAGCGGTTTATGAGGAGTTGTGCTGACATAAAAAAAAGGACTGACTGACACTCTGACGGACTTGTCAAAAACATTATACCTCACGCAACTAGTTGCGTGGGGTATAAAAATAAATCTTTTCCATCCATATTGAGAGCGAGGTTATTTTGCTCGCATGTTTAATGCATCCATATGAGTGAAAAATTCATATTTGTTTGTTTGTGTGCTGTTTAACGTCACTCTCCAGAACTTTTCACTCATATGGAGACGATACCACTTGCCGGTGGAGAGCTACAAATTTTGTCCTATATACTCGGCATTTTGGGTCATTTAGCAGGGAGGGATCTTTTTTGTGCCAGTACCTACTGCTACAAGGGACCTCTGTTTATACGGTCTCATCCCAAGGACCATTCTTCATGTCAGACAAAGGATTCAAACCTGTGATGTAATGATCGACTACTTACTTCGCGACTCTAGAGCCTTAACCACTGTGCCACGCATTCTTAAAATTTGTGTATTCAAATATGGCAAAAACAAGGACTGATCTACCCATCTTCCAGGAAAGCCAAAAAAAAGTATAAAGAGTCATAATTGAGAATTATAATATTAAAGATCCAAACCTCATACATTTCATGAGCTCTTTACAGGGGTTTAGACATTCCTAATACACAGTAAAATATAATCAGAGGTGCAGGGATCAGGTGCCATTAGCATCATCTGCCGCCCAGACACAATCATAATCAGACAAATAGAAAATTACATAGACAATTCAGTGTGTAAATATCAGAGTCAGTACAATAAATATGAAAATATCAGTCAAATCTCAACTTAAAGATCGTACTGACAAGGTGTTTCATATCATTGACAACCATAGAACTTGAAAAAATTATGACTGTGGATTATTATCCTTGTTTCATCATCTTGTTTGTCAATAGCTATACATTTTTACTGGGAATATTAGCCACTATATGATGTGTAACATAAATATGCTCCAGACATCTATTACATCATTGTTGAAGAATTCAGAAGGAATTTTTTGAATTGCTGAAAGAACTATATATATGATATATGGGTACGTCATTTATCCAATATGATACAGTTGTGGGAACATTTTTTTTCATCATATTTGATATGTTTAAAGTTTAAATCAAATGATATTTTAAAAGATTTTAATAATATTATTGTAAAGATTTTCTAGCTGTAACTTTGCAATCTTTCATAACAAATTGGATGAGCAAAACTCAAGAATATATTGTTTTCAAAACCCCTGGTACATGGAATGCATGCTGATTTCTTGTCTAGGTACATCTGATGGCACTATAATCTTAAATTGAGAATATCTTGAAAAATTATCAGAAGGTAAGGTATGTTGCATATGCCGTTAATCTTAACTTGGATGAAATCTATAGCTTTATCTAATCTTATCCATGAAAAGTATTTCACAAATAGGAATAAAATTGACAATCACCATAGGAAGTGTTGGAAATGAAATATATTCATGTATCAGACATTCCATCATCAACTTATTATAAAATCAATGCAGAAAGCGGGCCCCCTTATATGACCCCTTCTCTCAGCACTTAATGATTAGTTTATTACCATACATACACTAGACTGATTAATCATCTCATACTAATGACATTCCCACAGGCACTTGTTGGTAACTCATTTTCCCCTCTTCTCATGGTATAAATGTACCTAGGACTTTGAAGAATTATGTTCTTGTTTCTTGTTAAAATCCTAACTGAAATATAAGCTTTTGATAAAGCAAAAATAAAGCACTGTACAGGTTCTTATAGCTACAACAGTGTATATACTAAAGTGTTCTCCACAAACTTCATTTGAACTTGAAGTTTGCTACTTCAACACTGATATTTTGGATACCATGGATGTGTCAAAGTGGTTTGGAAGTCCTAACCACTTATTCTTAAATTTTTTTTATTCTTCATTGATCAAATCCTGGAATATTTTGAGATGTTTTTCATCAGTCTCATCAAGTTTAAGATAACCTGACTGTATGTTAAATAAAATAAGCTTAAATCAAAGATTGGTTTACGAAAGTTAGAAATTGGAAAGATTTTTTATTGAATTACATCTTGTTGCTCCAACAAAATGCAGCAAGTACTTATTTATGCTAAATAGACGAAGCAAACAAATTGTTTCCAAGTCCAATCCAACTTTCCTTGGCCTTCAGTTTTTGATTCAGTTACGTCAGTACTGTTTAGGATTCCTTTTATCATGTAAACTATGGGTAATAAAGAATATTAAAATTTTTGAAAGTTGTTTTTAAAAACTGTCAGATAAGAAAGGAACCATATATACAGAGTTTCTCCTCAGTTTGAAGAATGGTGCCAGTGTATACTTAGTAAATAATTGCAAATGCCATAAATGCACTTGTTTGAATGGGTCAGCCAGGTCATAATTCCTTGGAATAATGATTTTGGCTAAATGGAATGGGTTTCTTGAATTGCTATCTTCTGCCTTAAATGGATCAAGAGATTATTTCTTCAGAAAATATTAGTAGTGTTGAAAATTTGTGTCCATATATTTAGACAAGAGGCCCACAGGCCTTATAGGTCACCTGAGTATCATGTGACAACGTTCCAGCGATTGTATTTGGTTCATGTTTTAATCCAAAGCCATGAAATTCACAAATTTTGAAAGAGGCACCATTGCTTATCAAAGGGCAGATTTCAAAGCATTAATTTATTTTACTCAAAGTACCCCCTGGTACCCCTGACCCAGCGGCCCTGAAATTATCTATTTTGAAAGAGGCCCCTTTCTTCATTATAAG